GGATGTCCAAAAAGCCATCTCCGTCACGTTATAGTGGTCAAAACTATTTTTAACATATAAAAGCATGTACTACCTCCGTTTCAGTTTATAAGTCCTACGCGTATACCTATGTTGTCAATTTTATTACCCTAATATAAACTATATAACACAAAAATTATATTGTTTGAAAATAGAACATCTGAAGTTTATATTGGTATATTTTTTGTAATATATGACGTGTATTAGGTTGGTCAAATTGACGACCTAGGGGTACGCGCACGCCCTGTAAACTGAGAGAGGGGTAGTAGTTATTTTTAGAACCATTTTCATGTAATAATAAATCCTCATAATAACAGCGTGACTGCTTTTCACACGTGGCGTGATGGATCTGTATCTATTTAAAAAAAAATGTAATTTCGTACGCCTGAGACACTCTTCAAATACGCAGATTTCACAACAAAAAATAGCCGGATTTCAGAAAACGTACAACAATCTCACTCTAGTATGTCTTTCTTTTTTCATTCGCAAAAAATATCTTTTTCTTCTCCAGGAGTCTGAACATTGCCACGAAAAAAGGGGATTATGACCCGTTACCAAAACGGATTCCGTTGGTTTTACCGTTAAACCGAAGCTTCTCATCCGTCCACGGCGCACGCAAAGACTCCCAAGTGGGCTACGAAACGGGGAAGAAGCTACACGTAAAGCATCCGGCCCTCCAGCCATCCCACCGCCGAATATTTTCACTACTTTATTCCCGGACACGCACGCAGGCGGCGCAACCGAACTTCCCCTTCGGCCGCGGAGGAGAAAGGAAAAAAAAAATCCGAACTTTCGATTCCGGCGAGCGATTCCGGCGATGGCGAGCGGCTCGTCCCGGCCCCAGATTCTCTGCGTCTCCTTCAACCAGGACAACAGGTACGCGCGGGAGCGGGGCGGCGGAATATGCGCTCTCCTGCTCGATTCCGGCGGGTCTGGGGGAGTCGGATTCGCCGGAGGGGAGCTCTGATTCTGACTCTGGGTTGCCCGGTGCTTTGTTTCAGCATGTTCTCCGTCGGGACCAAGGATGGGTTCAAGATTTTCGATGCCCGGACCGGGAGGCTCTGCAACGACAACAGTAAGTCTTGCTCCAGAGCTCTTCCCCCCTCATAGCCGTCGTCCACTCCGAGTCTCCGAATATCCAATTGTGCTTACAACAAGTTGATTGTGTAGCTCCTAGTGTAGAACCGGCTACTTCTACGTAGAAGCTTATGCTGAACAATCAAGGCTGCTTTGTGCTTCCTGCCTAATTCAGACTAGTTCTGAACACAATCGTTGTGCATTGGTAGAGGGTAGAACCAGATAGCAATGCAAATTCTCTTTCTGTCAACGCATTGTTCGGTGATTAGAACCCGCGTAGGGAATAAATATCGCTCTATGCAATTTATCATAAGGAGCTAAGGCGTCAAGCCGTATGTGCCTCTTCTGTGGTTGCAGAACTTGGAGGACTGAATGTCGTGGAGCTGTGGTTTGCTACGAACCTCATCGCTATGGTCGGAACTGGGGAACAGGTATCTGACGCGCTCTTTTCCTTGTTTTCGGTTCTGTTTGTTCCCTGTTGTGCGGTTGAAGTTCGACGAATCGCTTTGTTCCCTGTTGTGCGGTTGAGGTTCGACGAATGGAGTTTTACATGGATGGTGATGCCGTTGGTTAATCGTCGGTTCAAACTGCCTTTTGCAGCCTTCACGGTCTCCTCGTCGCCTTTGCCTGTTCAATACCATCACATGCGCCTCAAAGAAGGATCTGAACTTCAGGAGTACAATTTTGGCTGTTCGGTTTAGTAGAACGAGGTACACCACCAATCCTTCCTGTCTAAAAGAGGCCGAATGCCCTAGTGTTTCAAGACTAGTACATTAGTGATGACTGTTCTGAATATATGCTGCAATTTGAGAAGAGAAGTCTTACAGGTCCATTCTACTCCCTCTGTAAACAAATGTAAGATGTTTTAGGTCAGTAATAAACAATGCTGTCAGGGATCATGACGCTTAATCATATGCTTCTATCTATTCCTCGCAAAGAAAAATAAATGCTTCTATCCGTTAGTTCCTGACTCCTTGTGATGGCATAACTTTTTACTTGTGCAATTGTTTTATGCCTATCGAGTTTTGGTCAAAAGGGATGTTATGCATACTTGTTTCATGGAGTTTTATTTTCAAAAAGGTTGTCACATTATGTGCAGGCTTATTGTTGTTTTGCAGGACAAGACCTTTATTTACGATCTAAACAGCACTCGTATCTTGGAGGAAATAGACACGGTTCATAACCCTAAAGGTAAGCATCCTACCCAAATATTTTGAACTGAAACTCATACAAGTATTCCAGACAATCATATAGCTGGGGCTTGCGTTTCTTTGCATTGAAACGGAAATTTCGCTTCACATATTTGCTGCTGACATTGTTAACTTCAAAAATATCAGGTCTTTGTGCATTTGCTCCTAATTCAGAATGGTGTTATTTGGCCATCCCAGCAAGCACATCAAAAGGATCCGCTTTAGTGTATAAAGCGTCAGAGCCTGAATTAATATGCCAGGTAATTCCCAGAAGGTTTAGTTCCTTCTGTATCATTCGTACAGCTGAGTAAACATCATTACATTTACAGATTTACAGTTCTCCAAGTGCTGGATCTTTCTTGAGATATTACTGTAAAAACCAACTACTCATTGATTATTTTAGATCCCTTTCTGCCTTTTCCAGTTATAAAAATGAAAAAGCAATGGCCATGCAACTATGGTGGCGTGGACAATGTTTGATTCCTGTGCGTGAAACAAACTCATTAGTTTGAAGCTTTCTTTCTGGAATATAGATCATAATCAGAATAACTTTCAAGACCGGATCTGTTTTTCTCAGTTCTCAGCCAAGTTTGGAGGCTTAATCTCAACCCTAGTAATCTGAAAATATAATCACATCGTGTTCTTGTTTCTGTTATGTCTTTTCACGAATATTGTTTTCTCTTTGTAATTGATCAACAGATAGATGCCCATGAGTCTCCATTAGCTGCAATGGCATTTTCTTCTAATGGGATGTACCTGGCAACAGCTTCTGAGAAGGGCACTATGATTAGGGTATATATCGTGGCACAAGCAACCAAGGTGAAAATTAGTGATCTCTCCTCTGCAACCATGATAAGCACTCTGTCATTCTGCCTCATATCGTTTTAAATTCTTACATCAACAGTTGCATAGTTTTCGGCGGGGAGCATATCCATCAACAATTTACTCGCTCTCATTTGGGCCGTGCATCGATCGGCCTGATGTTCTTGCTGCCACAAGTTCGTCAGGCTCTTTGCACATGTTTTTTCTTGATGCTGCCAGAAATGGAAGGTGACATTTCCTTCTCGGTATGTGATTCGTGAACCAACTTTTTTGCGGACATATTTTTGACGTGCTTCACTTTTCAGGAACCAAACGAATAAATTACTCGGTTCAATAATTCCTGGATCCAAAGCAATTTCCGACGCTTTGGATCCAGCTAATCATCATGTTATTCATAACATTGCCCCCGCAGAAACCAAGAGGTACATTTAAGATCTTCTGGCTTCCTCTGACCCTCCACTGTTATCGCTAATGTAACTCTTTGGAATCGCAGCTGTCTAGCAGTACATAGTGTAGAGTATTCCCAAAATTCTTCCAAGTTTCCTGCTGTGAGGTAAGAAATTCATGCATAATTCCACACAAGATGCATCTTGACATTTAATGCCTTCCAGATCATATTCATAAGCAATTGTAAATTTTTGCAGGACTGTAGTCTATGTTGTAACTCACGATGGATACTTCCGCGAGTACACGATCAGCACCACCAAGTCAAACGAATCTTCATGGGTTTTGGAGCGCGAATTCAGCCTGCTGGATACCGGTTATACTCAGAAACAGAATGAACACCACCACGTGGACTGACTTTGTCGGTTTGCCGACCCCGTTCCTACCACTGACTGATGTAAATATCATGTGCAAGATGAGTGTATCCATAGGAAGACAGGCCTGACCTAGCAATGGATGGGAGTGATCCAATTTGACGTAGCATAGCACAGGATAGGTGTTGACTAAGCTTAATGTTGTGGGTGTAAATTACAGATGTAAACATATATTGCTCGTGTCACAAAAATTACTTGTAACACATGGGTTCCAGCGTGTTTTATGTGATTGACTTGGATTGGACTCATGACGACATGCAGTTCCTGACAGATTCACCAGTGCATTCTTTCATGAATGCCAAATCCTACATCTTGCTGCACCAAGATATCCTTGCATCAGTTGGCAGTAATAGAGTACTCATACTCTGTGCTTATTTAAAACACAACGATTCACAAGAACCAATGCAATTCCCATAGGGGACAGAAAAGATAACTCCCAGATCCCAAGGTGGTATTCCCTCTGCAATGAAATGGATAGACACGTATGCCCCATATTTTATGTTCTTTGCAAGAATTCCCTGAAAGCTAGACAATCTTTTTCTCAAACCTGGCATGATGCCGCGCTCCAACAAAAAATCAGCGCCATAGCATTGAGGGGGGCTACAGGAGGCCCAGTCATCCATTCATCAGTGTGGATGCACAAAACTTGGTAACTGAACACTAACAGAAAAATAGCATCACTTCTTATATACAGATATAGTAACTCAAGCACTGCTGCCTTTATGCAGGCTTGCAACCTACTATATCATCTTCATGTTGTTGTTTTCTTCTCTCCTATGCCAAAGTATGTAAGCTACTTATAAAGTCGATAACGACACATTCCTTTTGTTAACATGATAACGCGTCCTTAATCCTCACTGCACAGCTTGGAGTTCAATCAGCAACAACCCCAACAACATTCACTCATCAGATCTGTAAAATAGGAGCATCTCAATGTGAACATGCAGAAATTGTGCCCTGATACAAGATCACGTATGGGGTGAAATGTTGGTACCTGGGCTGCTTTTGCTTTGAGCCTCTGCACCTCATCCTGTGCACACAATAACCTGCAGTGCTCCAAACTTTCAATCCTGAGCTCTTTTCTTGTTTTTGGTTTAGACCATGGACAGATTAGATAAGAGATAATTACCGCCATTGTAGCTCCAGGACTTCATTGACCAGTTCCTTCTCCTTCTCTTGTGCTGCTTCCAACTGAAAATGTAGTCGGCAGGTTATACTCCCTCCGTCCAAAAAATACTTGTCATTAAAATGGATAGAGGGATGTATCTAGAACTAAAATACATCTAGATACATCCCCTTTTATTCATTTTGATGACAACTATTTCGGGACGGAGGGAGTACTATTCTTGGCATTTACCATCATAATAACGAGAGTGAGTGACTGAATAAAGTCAGCAAAGCCTTTCTTTCACGGTTCATCATATTGGCGGCTTAGTAATTTGAATAACTATCATCTATGTTTTGGGTGCTAAAATTTAGAGGTACCAGCCCACCAGGACCCAAGGACTTTGTGGGATCTTTGCAGTGTTCAGCAGATATTAATTTTAGCAACCCACAAAATTCCATGGCACTGATTTTTAACTGAGTTAGGTCGTGTTTTCGGAATTATCACTGCTGGAATTTCATATCTCAGCATTAATAGAAAGAATGGAAAATGAGACATGTTGAACATATAGGCCCTGTTTGGTTCGGCTGTGGATTTCTAAAAGCAGCTGTGAAAAATCTGCTGTGGAAAAACAGCTGTGAAAAATCTGATGCGAAAAAGATGTAGGTCATTTGGCAAACCAGCTAATACAGCTTTTTCAGATTTTGGCCCGCAGCGGAATCAGATTTTGGAAAGCACGTCCTGAGCTGCTTCAGCTTTTGGTTCAGATTTTGGCAGCGGATTTCTGAAATCGGATTCTGTTGGATTCACCCTTTGGTTTAGATTCTGCTGCGCGGCAGCAGAATCTGTCGATAAAAGCTGAACCAAACAGGGCCATAAAGTGATTTGGTTTTCTAGTTGGTCATGGCTTAATGGTGTCCGGTATTCATCAGCATTTTCCAACACAGACATTGCTTTGAGTTTCATAATACAGTTCCTGCCACTTTAACTGGAACCTGAGCTTACCATGGATCTATCTACCGATAAAGCTGATGATGGAGATGGGGAACGACTTAACGAATGCATCCGAACAGGTGAAATAGAATCAGAAATGTATAACTGCTTCATCGCATGAAGTATCTGTTCCTGCAAGTGAGGGGAAGACTAGCATCAACAAAGCAAACTTTTCATTCTTTGGAGGTTTTGTTTGTCAAGCTCATTTTCTGTCGTGAGTGCTGTATGGGTGGGGGATTTACCCTCTGAAGCAGATTGGTCTGCAAAACATTGTATAACTGGATGTACAAGGAGCCACCAATAATGCTTGAAGCAGCCTCAGCTGAAGATGGTATGCTTAATGCAGAAAGTTGAGAAATTGTCTGCATAACAACAAATATATGGTGTGAAACGAAAAGAAAGTTAAGTGTATGTTTTATGCATTACAAATGATCAACCACATTTGACAACTGTGATTGGCTAGTTCATGTAAAAGTAAACAGAGTTCAAACCAAGTTCTCGACCTTACAATGCAATGCATTCGGGTTATCTCTCCCCTTGGGTCGAGTTTTTTTTCTTTAGTTCAAAGTTCAAACCCTTACCAGGGTTTTTAACAAATGGGGTGGTCTAATTAAAACCTATCAATACAAGGACTAACATGCATCAATTACTTTTGGATGTTCAAGCTAAACCCAAGTAATCCTGCTGCTATTGCACATTTTGCAGTCACGTAAAGCAGTCTTTTACTGAGCCTTGAGGCAGGTTTTATTGCCAATTCCCTCTTGAGGACCAAGAGAGTTAAAGCAAAGACAATCAAACAGCTCTCCGGCACTCTGTACTGTTCATGGTGCGATTATTCTAAACTCTATTTAACCTAATATTCTGCAGTCAATATATCAAATTTTTAAAGAGGTTATAATGATGTTTCCACATGGCTTAGGTCCCAACACAAAAGCTGCCGAATATACCAAATAGGGAACCACTAAGGTTGTTAGTCAGGAAACAATGGTTTTTTCTGCATTCTTTGAGCACGCAAAATATATATGACTCCAGTCCCCAAACATGCACTGCACCAGTTCATGAACCAAAACAGATAAATGCCCATGAAACATGATGTAGGATAAAGACTAAAAACCTGCATGCTGTGAGACTTTTGTAGGCCAGGTGAGTGAGCCTGAAATTACAAAATCATGTCATCCTACAGTTAACCAAACATGCACCAAGTATTATTAATGGTTTTCAGTTACCTTATCCAACTCGACATTCCCAGGTGTAACTTTAAAACGACCTCTTTGCTGTATAAGTGGAGGTTTTGATCTATCATCATGTTCATCAACATTTGATACTGCATTAAAGCAATAAACAGATGCCAAACTTTCATACTCGTGAGAACTTATTCTGATTAGCCCACATTAGGTTAACCTATACGAACTGCAGGGATAAAACCAGTATGTTACCCAATGATTTAGGTGCCCTAGAAATAGCTTCAGGAGATGGCTCATCTGCTACTTGCAAGACCCCTCCGCTACCCTTGTCACGGTTATGAATGTTGATTTGTGGCTTAGAGCTGAAAGAACTACATATGCAGTTGCACACTGTATCAAAATATGTCACGAGGAGATACAAGTACAGTAGTAATACTATGGACAGCTTCCAGAAGAACACCATTAGGCCTGATTTGGAACACAAGAATTTGGTCCTGCATTCCAAACAAGGTCTAACAACAGATGGTAAAAAGTGGAACATCACTGGTTAATAGAACAGAAATTCCAATGATGTGGTCAAACTATTTAGCTTCGTGTTCCAGTTTGACGCAATGCCCTTTTTGGTAAATATAGCTTCCATATTAGTTATGGGGTCATGAATATGGATATAAAAAATAGTACAGCCATGCAGCTATCATATGAACAAAATAGTTATTATCAAGACACTACTAATAAAAAATATACATTGAACTGCTAAGCCAGGCAAGCAACCTTTTAAAAACCACATCCCCATCAGTGGCACTGCTAACTAACTGAAACTTCATATACATTGACTGCAAGTTGCAGGGAAAAAAATTCAGGCACCAAATGTGCATACCGAGAATCTCAAAAGTTTATGTGCCTATACAGGAAAGTAAGTTTTGTTCATTCCCAGTGCATATGTAACGTGATAAGAAAAGCCTCTGTCAGCACTTTTGTGACCTGTATTTTTGTAATTGGTCAACTGTTTTTCAAGTTTGATTCTACAAGATATTGGCAATTTTGCCAACTGAAACTATGAAATACAACCATGATAAGATGGAACTGGTTCTAGAATACAGTTCAAATTACCGGCAAGCAAAACACGTTTTCGCATAATTGGAAAAAGGTGATTCTTCAAGTTTAAATTTTCTGTGAAGTACAACAAACCTCTCTTTGGAAGAAAGAAAACCATCTGATGAGCAAGAACTGAAAGAACACTTCCTTTCCTGAAATGAGCTTGTTGGAATGGCATCCAAATCTTTCTCTTGCAAGTCCAAATCACAGCTTTCCATAGAGCTGTGTTTCCTGACATGGCCATTTACCAGTACTCCGTTAGAAGTTCCACATAGAGATGCCCTAGTAGTAGAAATGAGTGAAATCAGTTTTCTGAGGTGTGTAGTACAGGTGTACAACAGTGACATTACGTAATTTCGCAATGTCATCACAAGAACTATTTGGCATAAAATAAGATATTATCATTTACAACCAACAATATGATTGAAGTAATTTCAACCAAATTAAATCCATTACCTTGATAGACAAACAGACTGCTCGGGTGATGAAACAGCTGACTTATCATTGGCCATGACATCATTTTCCTACCAACTTTGCTTGGCGTTAGATGTAAGCAAAATTCTAGATTGGAAAACCTTACTTTCTGCAGGAGCTAAAACTTACGATGTCAGTATCATACTTCATTGAAAAAAGAGACCCTTCGAGTGCTTGCTCCTGCAAGCTGGTGTCGAAGTCATAGATAGACGATATATCTGTATCTTTAGATGATATCGTGTCCTCACACTCTGAAATCTGTCAAAATATAAATAAGCTAAATTACTTGATGTGAAGTCAATGACTAAACTGGAAATGAAAATGCTAAATGCCTACCAGTGAGGCTTGAGACTTCAGGTCATCAATGTCAAAGTTCCAGCTGCTGATACCCCTTTTGTATTCATCCTAGCAATGCAAGAGATACAAAGGATTGGATGAAAAACAATATAATGGTGACAATAAAATAATCATCTCGGTGCCGAAAGGGTACAACAGAAATGACACAGATCTAAAAGTCAAAACAATGATAGGAATAGAATAGAGTTTTGGGTTGGCAACATTTGTTACACGTTACAATGGGCCATTCCTGGTGATTCAGAGAGTGGGCAACACAGCTTACAAATTACAGTTCCCTGAACATGTGAAAATACACCCAGTCCTCGTGTTAGTCAGCTCAAAATGCATATTGGACAAAAATCCATTCCCAGCCCTGACTTCCCTATGGTTAATAAGGATGCCACCATCAAAACAGCTCCAGCATTAGTGCTACAGGTACGACAAATTTCTCGACAAAACCTGCCTGTGGTACAGTGGTTAATCCAGTGGGAGAATTTGTCCCGAGGACGCGACTTGGAAAGATGCAGGTTTTTATCAATATATCCCCAGCATTCTTCCGTTCCACTACAGAAGGGTGGCGCGCTTCTTCATCAACGCCGTGAGGTCATATCGTATCTCAAGAAGGGGGCAATGTCAGGACAGTTCTCTAAAGACGCTGCACTAGCTTGGCGAGTTCAGTTAGGTGTAGCGCTTCCAGCAAAACGGTTCAACTTGATCAAACGGCTCAGATCACTCCTCGTTCACAGTTGGACAATGACAGTCAGATCAGTTTAACCAGAGCTACTGTTCATTTTACTTTACCATTTCTTTACCCCCAGTTTGCTGAAGTAAAACGTTGGCCTATATTCCACTACG